TCCCGAGGCCATCCCAGGGCCCCGGGGCCGTCCAAAGGCGGCTCAAAATGAAGAGCTGGTCCTGGGGAACGCCCCGGAGTCCAGGACCCGCTTCTTGCCATCGCTCGGACGTCCATTCCTCGTGTATTTTTCGATTTCGTGCGTGCTTTTTTCGCTAAGTCATCCTGGATGCTCCTCCATGGTCCTCGCCGAGGAAAAAATGCACACGTCCGAGCGATGCTAAGGCTTCCCTCGGGACTTCTTCCCTGCATGCCAGGAGGGACACTGGCGGTGTGGGCCCCGTTGGAGAATCGCACCGCATCTCTGATGCATCGTCGATGCACTGGTGAGGTCGGGACGGAGAACATCGGACTCACGATCGCGCAACATTGCCGATGCATCGGCGATGCGGCACGGATCTCCGACTCCATCTGGCTTTTCGGGTCCTGGCCACACGCGCGCGCCGAAGGGGGGGAGGCCCAGGATGAGGGGGCTTAGCGCATCAAAGCCCGACGCATGGGCGCGGACGAAGGGGGGGGGGCCATGGTCCAGGGTGCGTGCCGACAGGAGTAGAGGGGCCATGACATCAGGGAGATTTCATGGGCCTGGCCGTGAGATCCACACCCCCGTACTCCTCACCCCCTCTTCGGTGCCCCCTGCTCATGCCCAAGACCTGGGGGCTGCGGGCCCCCGCAGCGGTGGAGGCCCTGGTAGGGCTCCCCCTCGGGATGGCCCACGGAGCTCGCCGCAGGCGGGGCGGCGAAGCCGGGACGCCGGTCGACGAGGCCTCCGCTGACCGCCGCGCGCGCCGGCGGCAGCCCCGCCCCGTCGGCCCACGGGCCCGGGAGGTCCCGCTCGGGGTCGTGGCAGAGGTCCTGGAGGGCCTCGAAGAAGTCGCCCTGCTCCTCGCGTTTCGGGGGTCCCCAAAGTCGACGCTGCGGTGCTTGTCATCGCTCGGACGTCCATTCCTCGTCTATTTTTCGACTTCGTGCGTGCTTTCTTCGCTAAGTCATCCAGGATGCTCCTCCGTCCTCGCCGAGGAAAAAATGCACACGTCCGAGCGATGCCAAGCTGGAGGGCCTCGAAGAAGTCGCCCTGCTCCTCGCGTTTCGGGGGTCCCAAGAGTCGACGCTGCGGTGACCGGCCGTGCGGATGCACGGCTTCGGGACCCTGGGGGCTCCGGTCGCCCGAGGCAGGGTCGGAGAAGGGCCCAAGTCCCGAGACAATGCGGTCCCCCCCGATCCGCACTGTCTCTAATCCGACGGCGCGGTCACCGCACCGTCTTGGGACTTCCGATGGTAGTCCTCCAGCTCCTCGCGGTCGCCCTGCTCTGGCCCCGCGAGGGGGCCCTGCATGATCTCCTCCGGGAGCGCCATGGGGCGCAACTCCTCGTCGGGACTCGCGCGGACGAGCGGCCGGAAGCGAGGGTCTGGGTGGTGCGCGAGGCTGAAGCCAGAGAAGTGCCGAAGGTTCGCGGCGCGCCCCTGCAGCGCAGAGGGCAGGAGCCTCATCTTCTTGGCGCCGTGGATCCCGGGAAGCAGCGGCTCGTTTGCCCACCGGCTCTCGAAGTCTGCCGCGGCGGAGCGCGAGAAGAAGTTGACGATGGCGAAGCCCAGGTTGCGGCCCTGGCTGGAGTTCCACGGGCAAAAGAAGAAGTCGAACGCCCCGCGCATGCACTCCGTGAGGTCCTCCAGCAGCGAGGTCACCGCGCCCTGCGTGAGGAAGTCGGGGATGTTCCTGATGATCAGCGTGGTGCACTGCCTCGGCGCGGCCGCCGGCCCCCTCCGGCGCCTCAGCCCGCGCGCCGCGCCCCCGTCCTGCGCCGAGTCGCCGGAGCCCGACGGCGTCGACGCGGAGGCGCTCGTCGCGTCGCGCGTGGACTGGTCCGAGCCCGCGTCGCGGCCGGCCCCGGGGTCGAAGTCGCCCGCCTTCGCGCCCCCGCCGGGCCGCAGCCCGCGGCCGCCGCCGCGGGCCGCCGCGGGGCCCAGCGCTGCCCGCTGCGCCTCGCTCGCGCGCGGCGGGGGCGGCGGCGGGCCCTCCGCGCCGGGGGCGGGCGGGATCTCGCCGGGGCTGTGGGCGAAGCGGCAGGCGGCGCCGTACTTGCAGCGCCCGCTGCCGGCGAAGCTGCACACCTTCGTCCTGAAGAAGCCCGACGTGCTGCGCAGCTCCCGCTCGCTGTGGGCGAAGCGGCAGCCGGGGTTCGTGCAGTTGCCCGTGGTCAGGAAGTCGCGGCACATGCTCGTCTTCCCCAGGTCGGGCTTCTCCCGGATCTCGGAGGGGCTGTGGGCGTAGGGGCACTGCGCCCCTTTGACGCACCTGCTGGAGAGGAAAAACTTGCAGATTTCAGTCTTCGCCAACTGCTTGACATGCTTCTGCCGGAGGCTCAGTGTCGGGAACCCCTCCGAAGCTGGCATGTGCAATCGGTGATCCCCGTGCGGCTCCGTAAGCTGCTGCCGCCAGGTCTGTCGGCTCACCTCCCAAAATCGGTGGTTTTTACAGCCGACTCTGAGCCATGATGGCTGGAGGAGGAGGAGGAGGAGGAGGAGGAGGAAAGGAGGAGAAGGAGGAGGAGGAGGAGGAGGAGAAGGAGGAGGTCACGTTCAAAGCCAAGACGCACCAGCGATGTTGCAAATCACCTTCCCCCCGAAATTCTTGTTCACTGATCCCTCACAACAACTGTTTTCATTGCGGGAAAGGCCCCTTGGTAGACAACCGTTTGAGAATCCCCAGCCGTGCCACAACATCATTCTTGGGACTTCAATGCCGCGAGCCGAAGTGACTGTTGCGCCCTGACAATCCTGAATCGTGCCAGCACACATCATTCCTGGGACTTCAACACTACGGTTTAACGTGGTTGCTGCGCCCTGACATTTTTAACCTGTGCCAGAATACCTTTTCCTGGGACTTCAGCAATACGACTCCGTTTAACTGTTGCACACTTGTAAGACGAATGTGTGCGGCGATGAAGCGAGAGCCACCTTGTGAAAAGAAACCGCATTCCATCCTCGAATCTGCTGCTAACGTTTAAGACAAATCTGCGCGGCGCCAGAATGAAAACGGGCTCTTGAACACGGGCCGCCTTCCGATATTGAGATTCTTGTGAGTTTTGAGAGCGGCGGATGTGCGCGGCGCCGCGGCGATAGCAGCAGTTTGAAACACAGGGGCACCCTGCGTCCTTGAAACCGCTGCAAGCTTATGAAACGACTGTGCGCGGCGCTGAGTAATCAACGTTTTTGTTTTGTTTTGTTGTTTTCCTTTTTTTATATATATATATATAATCGATATATGTATATAACTGCTCACCATCAGTCCTTGAGGCTGTTGCGGGTATTTCAAGCGAGTGTGCGCGGCGCTCGGGCGAACACGGCCTTTTGACAACGGGCCGCCTTCCGCCCGCGAAGCGGCCGCAAATCCCGAGCTTCAGGAACATAGGTGGTGAGGGCGTCTCAGGCGAAACGCCTGGCCCGCCCTGCCGACACGAGTGGGTGTTCTTTATGGTAGCCAACCTGGACCCCAGACAGTGTGTTCTAGCAGTCTGCGTGGTGCGATTTCTATTGTGCAAGTGTTTTTTTCTCGCTATTTGGTTGTCAACGCCACTGCTCGCGCAATCATCCCTGCCACCCACCCGCAACTTGGCTTGCGGAACCCATGCGGTGACTGCTCGGTGCTGCCTGGCGCCTCTCTGCGGCCGCGCCAACGCGCGCATGATCGCGGGCAGAGCGGCAGCTAGTCTGGAGCCACGGACGCGGCCGCGGTGGCGCTGACCGCTGGGGGGTGCCCAACACGTCTCGCAGGCTGCGCTGGCGCGCGGGTGCATCAGTGCGAGTCAGTGACTCGAATGGGCGCGGTATTATGGTGACGTCGACACCGGCAGACACGATGATTATTGTAGCGGTGCTGGTGGCAAGGGTGACAAATACGACGACAAAGCCAATGACGGCGCCGACACTGATCACGCCGATGATGATGGTGTCTTCGCGTCGGTGATAGAAAAGTTTAGGGAGGATTTCGACATGCGCGCGCGGCCGACGGGCGCGAGTGGCCCGTGGGGGATTATTGAAAGGAACCGTGCCGCCCCAACACGCGTGCAAGGGCTTTCAACTGTTTTCGACACGCTCGCGCGAGAGGCCCGCTTGGCCGCTTCAGATGGACATGTTGAACAGCCAATGGTTTTCTTCAAAATTCGCAAGAACGCGCGTGCAGGCTTCTTTCGACAACTCAATTCGCAATACAATGTTTTCCAATGTTTTCGGGGCATTCGATTCTGAAGCCCTTACGATACCTATAACTCTGTTTATGATTTCGGCATGTACGCGCGAGGTCGCGCGCGTGTGCAAATCGTTCCGTTCTTTCCCTAGAAAGGGTTTATTGAAAGCTGATGGCTTTGAATGAACGAGTGTGCGCGCGTAGTATTTTTGACAGGGAGGACGGGCGGGGTGCCGATTACCAGACTGCCTGGGATGGTCCGGATTCATATTTAGGATGGGCGAAGTGTGCAGCATCATATACGGAAAACGATGCGAACAACATGACAAGTTAATTAATCCGTCGGGTGAGTTGTCAACTCCATTGCTTGCGCAATCATCCCACCCACCCACCCGCAGCTTGGCTTGCAAAACCCATGGGGGGCGATTGCGATTGCTGCTTGGTGTTGCCTGGCGCCTCTGTGCGGCCGCGCTAACGTGTGCAGGCTCGCGCGAAGCGCGGCAGCTAGTCTGGCGCGGCGGACGCGGCCGCGGTGGCGCTGACCGCTGGCGAATCCCCTGCGCGTCACGCGTGCTGCGTTGACGCGCGGGCACTTCGATGCGAGTCGGTGTCTCGGGCGGGCGCGGTATCATGGCGACGTCTACAACAGCAGACACGATGTTGATTATAGTGATGGTGGTGACGACGCTGACGATGACGATTACGACGCCATTGCCAATGACGGCGCCGATGCTGATCACGCCGGTGACGATGATGGCACCCATGTGTCGGTGAAAAAGGTTTTGGGGGGATTTCGACATGCGCGCGCGGCCGACGGGCGCGAGTGGCCCGTATGGTGTCATTTGACAGGGATCGTACCCCCCACAGCACGCGCGCAGGGGCGTTCGAATGATTTCGACATGCGCGCGCGAGAGGCCCGTTTGGTCGAATTTGATGAACATGTTGAGACACAGATGGTTCTTTCAGAATTTGCAAGGCGCGAGCGCTGACTCTTTCGAAAACTCATGTTGCCAAACATTTTGCTGTTATATGTTTTCGGGGTGCTCGATTCTGAAATCTTTACGGAACCTATTTCTTTGACAGATTTCGGCATGCGCGCGCGACGTCGCGCGCATGTGAACTTTGTCGTTTTTGGCTACAAAGAAATAGTGAAACCTAAAGGCTTTTGATGGGCGGGTGTGCGCGCATAGTCCTTTTGCAAGGGGTGGCGGGGGATGCACCGGCCTTGCTGGGATGGTGCGAATTCGTATGTACGCAGCACCCCGCACTTGCGGATAAGAGTGAGGGGGCGGCGAGGATGTCGGCAGTCTGCGAGGGTCTGAAGAAGCCCGCCACAGGCGCCTAACTTTTTAAACATAACATTATGCAATGAGTCCGCCGCAGGCGCCGATTTTTTTCGTTCCAGCAATGCGGGTGGGTCGCAGGGTGGATCGCGAGTGGGTCGCGGGTGGATCGCGGGTGGGTCGCGGGCGGGGTCGCGGGTGGGTCGCGGGCGGGCCGCGGCGGGCCGCGGCGGGGGGGTCGCGTGTGGGTCGCCGGTGGGTCGCGGGGTGGGTCGCGGGGTGGGTTGCGGGTGGGTCGCGGGGTGGGTCGCGGGCCGGGTCGCGGGGGGGACGATGACAACGACCAACCAACACCAACACCAACACCAGCAGCAGCACCAGCACCAGCACCAACACCAACACCAACAACACCATTAGCACCATTAGCACCATTAGCACCAACACCAACACCACCAACACCAACACCACCACCAACACCAACAGCAACAATACCAACAGCAACAAAACCAACAGCAACAAAACCAACACCAACAACAACAATCCGCACCGCAGATCATGTCAGCCACGCGCCCAGGGACAGTGAACGACCGCTCGGCCTCGCTCTGATCATGGATGACTGGGCAGAATCATGCGTGAGAGCGCGCCCGTAGGGCACCTCCCCTGCCCGACTGCCCCCCCCCTCTTATTTTTGTTCTCTCCGCCCCTCGGAAGCTCCCCCCTCCCCCTCTCCCTTTCTGCTGTCGCGTCGCGCTCCGGAAGCTGCCCCCCCCCCCCCCCCTTCCAGAAGGGGGTGGGCTTAGCCACCCCTACGCCCCCCCTTCGATGCCCCCCCGACCCTCCGCCCTCCCCTTCGCGCTCCAGGAGCTGCCCCCTCCCCCCCCCTTCCTTCCTCCCCTTCCGAAAGCTACCCTTCGCCCTCCCTTTCGCGCTCCAGGAGCTGCCCCCCTCCCCCCCTTCCTTTCTTCCTCCCTCTCCGAATGGAAGGGGGGGGGCTTAGCTGCCCGCCCCTCTGAACCCCCCCCTGCTGGAAGGAAGCTCCCCCCCCCCTCTCCCTTGGCTACAAAGGGGGGGGGGGCTTGGAAGCCCCCCCCCCCCCTTATGGTTGAAGGAAGGAGCGCCGAAAAACCAAAGGGCCACCGAAAACCGAACGGGCGCCGAAAACCAAAGGCGCGAAGAAAAAATCAAAGGGGCGCCGAAAACCAAAAGGACGGAACAACACCAACGAAGCGCCGAGAACCAAAAGGACGGAACAAAACCCAAACCACCAGAGGGGCGCCGCAAACCAAAGGTGTACCGAACATCTAGATGGGCGCCGAAACTCAAACGGGATCGAAAACCCAAGGGGCGCCGAAAACCAGAGGGGCGCCGAACACTTGAAACGCGCCGAAAACCAAAGGGGCGCCGACAACCAAAAAGACGCCGCAACCCAGCGTTGCACTGACAACCAACACAGCGCCGAAAACCAAAGGGGCGCCGTAAACCCAAATGGGGCAACAAACAACAGAGGCGGCGCCGAAAACCAAAGGGGCGCCGAAAATAAAACGGGGCGCCGAAAACCAACGGGGCGCCGAAAACCAAAGGGGCGCCGAAAACCAAAGGGGCGCCGAAAACCGAAAGAGCGTTGACAAAAGCCAAGGCCTCCGCAACCCAAAGCGGCGCATTTGAAGGCCGCCGAAAAGACAAAGCAATGCCGAACACCGAAGAGGCGCCGAAAACCAAGAGTACGCTGAACACTAACGAGGCGCCGAAAGCCCAATGATTGCCGAGAACCAAATGAGGGGGGAGGGAGAGGAGAACGCAGGCGGAAGAGGAGGAGGAGGAGGAGGAGGACGAAAAGGATGAGGGAGGAGGGAGGAAGGAGGAGAAGGAGGGAGGAGGGAGGAGGGGAGGGATGGAGGATGGAGGAGGGAGGAAGGAGGAGGAGGGGGAGGAAAAGGAGGGAGGAGGAGGGAGGAGGGAGGAGGGGGATGAGGAGGAGGAGGATGAGGAGTAGGAGGAGGAGGAGGAGGAGGAGGAGGAGGAGGAGGAGGAG